GCAAACAATTCTAGTCTTTGGATGCATTTGATCAGTACTAGCCACAATATTGTAGATAATGTTAGAGATATGTATCGGTGTCATTGCTTCATGTTTCATGGTTGTCGCCAGGAACTCTCTAGTTGTAGTATCATGTTTGCTGTGTGTCAGACCAGTATGGAAGTGGGGGAACAAACATCTTTGCCACATCAGCTATTGCTGATGCTGCAGTTATTGCTGTAGCTGTTGTTGAGAAACTCAGATCTTACTCACTCACTGTAATGTAAGCAAAATCTGTTGTGATTGTTTGTCGAAACACGACCTGTTCTTTTGTCTTAAGCTTTTGTGCAGTTTCTGTTGTAGGAATGATGTGGTTACTGTAAGCAGTATCCTTGATGACAGTATACTTGAAAAAATACAGTGGTGTTGATTTTTGTTTCTCTGTTTTTTGGGGGTTTTGTTTCAAAGAATTTCAGCATTCCAGACATTTTACATGTGTGTTTTTTTTTCCCCCTTCTGTGACATTCTCTTGACCAAGATATTTTCTACCATTGCCAGATTTTTTTCCCCGCTGTGACTTGCTGGTTGCCATTGTGCAAATTTCCTATGTTTTATTTGTATGTTGTCTCATAGATCTATTCCAGATACCCTCATTGTGGTATCATATTTCTGAATACCATTGTTTTCTGATTTTACCTTCAGATGCCATGTTCATACATATATCTCAATATCATTTTTTTTTAAAATAAATCACCGGAGATTATTGTCAATTATTTCTAAAATAACGCCTGAAAATATCAAAGATTACTTGCAAATGTCAGTATTTTCACACACCTATGACCTTAATCAAGTTCACACTTTCATTTTCACTATCAGTTTTTCTCTCATGCTCTTGCTGGGAGTATCATCATTGTCACCTGATTTCCAATTATCTGTTTTATCACAGAGTGCTTGTCAATATATTCATGACACATCGGGTCATAACTCCCATGAGCTCGGTCACACACAGCATATCATTGTTTCCCGATGTTGCTGCCACTGAATATCAACATTTGCAGACACCATCTCATTATGTAATTTCCTGACATTATCTCAGATTATCCAATTTCCCATGCTGTCTCAGATTATCATTTCCATTTGCTGTCCTAAATTAACATCTATTCCATGTCATCATCTCATTTTATCATCATTTCCATGCTGTCATGTTATTCGATGATACTCCCCATGTCGTCCTATCATTTTGTCATCATTTCCATGTCATGAAATCATTTTGTCATCATTTCCATGTCATGAAATCATTTTGTCATCATTTCCATGTCATGAAATCATTTTGTCATCATTTCCATGTCATGAAATCATTTTGTCATCATTTCCATGTCATGAAATCATTTTGTCATCATTTCCATGTCATGAAATCATTTTGTCATCATTTCCATGTCATGAAATCATTTTGTCATCATTTCCATGTCATGAAATCATTTTGTCATCATTCCCACATGTCACCTCTGTAGTATTCTCCTATATGTCATTTCTCATTGTTTGTAAACTTGATCTCTGCTGTCCATAAATAGTCCACGTGAGGGCCCTAGACTGTAGTTTTTGCAATACGTTAGTCTTGTGTCTCTTGTCAGTGTACATATACATGTCAACGTACCAGACACTTCCTGCAGATGTATATATTGTCCAGTTGTGAAACAATTATATTTGTTATGTTTGTCATGTCATTTTGCTGACTTTAAATTTTTTTTTTTACCAATTTCAGCAATGACTTTGATTGTGTTTTGTTTGATCCAAAAGACATTGACAAAGACCACATATGTTTCTTGTTGTTGGCTGTTGCTGGCGCTGTCTACTGATAAGAATGAACCTAGAAATTGTGGTCTCTGGGCCAGGTTTTTCAGCTTGATTATGTCTGCTGTTTTAGTCATGTTAGGTCAGGCCTGTTGTGGAAGACTCTGAAGTCCAGCTAGACGTGAGAGTTGACCTTCATGTGGGTGAGAGTTGACCTTCATGTGGGTGAGAGTTGACCTTCATGTGGGTGAGAGTTGACCTTCATGTGGGTGAGTGTTTGATTCTAGTCAAGCTGCAGATGTTGTGAAACATTGTCGGCAACTGCCTTGAGATTTATGTAACAACAGTTCTTTTGTGTTGAAAGTAAACCTGCCATTTGTGCAATGTGACAGTCGAGTCTCTGTACTGTGCAATGTGACAGTTGAGTCTCTGTACTGTGCAGTGTGACAGTTGAGTCTCTGTACTGTGCAGTGTGACAGTTGAGTCTCTGTACTGTGCAGTGTGACAGTTGAGTCTCTGTACTGTGCAATGTGACAGTTGAGTCTCTGTACTGTGCAATGTGACAGTTGAGTCTCTGTACTGTGCAATGTGACAGTTGAGTCTCTGTACTGTGCCGTGTGACAGTTGAGTCTCTGTACTGTGCCATGTGACAGTTGAGTCTCTGTACTGTGCCGTGTGACAGTTGAGTCTCTGTACTGTGCAGTGTGACAGTTGAGTCTCTGTACTGTGCAATGTGACAGTTGAGTCTCTGTACTGTGCAATGTGACAGTTGAGTCTCTGTACTGTGCAATGTGACAGTTGAGTCTCTGTACTGTGCAATGTGACAGTTGAGTCTCTGTACTGTGCAATGTGACAGTTGAGTCTCTGTACTGTGCCGTGTGACAGTTGAGTCTCTGTACTGTGCCATGTGACAGTTGAGTCTCTGTACTGTGCCGTGTGACAGTTGAGTCTCTGTACTGTGCCGTGTGACAGTTGAGTCCTTTATGTGACAATGACTCTGTCAAATCTGCAGTAAATTACTTGGTGGTCAAGTGTGTGGTTTGTTGTTGTTGTGGTGACTGAGTGTTTCTTCATAGTTTTGTTTGAGTCCTAGTTAGTATTGCTGCAACATAATCACCAGGCTTGGCCTCTGCTGGACTGTCCTGTCTTCAGTGGTGCATTATTTAAAAGATAATCTCTTTAATGATGGATGTTTCTATTTCTTTTGCTTCATCTTCTGAAATAAACTTTAAATTAGCACTTGGCACAATAAGTTGTGGTTTACAGCTAGGCTGCGATACCTGCATCTCTCACTCCAAATACATCTAATTTCATGAGTTCTTGTTTAAAACATGCTTGTTATTGGGCACTTGGTCTGGGTTTGTTGGGACCCACACATGGAAGTTGTTTCTGTTGGGGGGGGGGGGGGGGGGGGGCACTGGGTTTGTTGGGACCCACACACCGAAGATGTTTCTGTCAGGGAGCCTCACATTGAAACCCTGGCGCAGGCGCTTGTATTCCTGGTGTTTTCCTGGAATCTGTTGGCAGAAGCCAGGAGAGTGGAGAGCCTTGATTGTACCTCAGTCATCACATCTGTTTGTTTGTTTGTTTGTTCATGAGTTTAATCTGTGTGTGCTACTCAACTGGGAGATTTATTAGGAGAAATGGACTATTTTTTGGCCAGATAGGATGACTCCAGAGCTGGCCAGTTTTTTTTCTTTTTGTGTGTGCTGACTGTTGTTTCACTCACCAATTCGTGCAATTTGTTTTTTCAAATATCTCATTGTATTCATATATGAAGAAAGATGTTTATTCTGTGGTCTTCTGTATATTACTGCATGCATTCTCCAGATTTCCAAACAGGCAAGAGACAGGTGGCGGTGGCTGCATGTTTGTGATATTAAATGTAAAATGTTTGTGCTCACATGTTTGGTGGGCAGCAGCGATGTGTGTTAGATTTTACAGTAGCAGAATAGACAGACAGTAGATGTTTTAGTGATAAACAGATGATCAGTGGATGTTACACTGAATACCAGATAAGTAAATACCAGATTTATTTAAGTGCCAAACAGGCAATTGTTAAATTTTAAGAGTTGGCAAGTAGATGACTGCTGATGTTACAGTCAGCAGACAAGTAGATGACTGCCGATGTTACAGTCAGCAGACAAGTAGATGACTGCTGATGTTACAGTCAGCAGACAAGTAGATGACTGCCGAAGTTACAGTCAGCAGACAAGTAGATGACTGCCGAAGTTACAGTCAGCAGACAAACATTGTCGACATTGTCTCAAAGTGCCAAACATGCAGTCCCTATACAGGTCAGCTGCGCTAGGAAAGGGGGGGGGCCGAATTAGAAAAAAGAAACACAATTGTTGGATGTTTGAGGTGACGTAGACGACTGCCATATTTTAAGGAAGTCACAAAGGCAAAAGTTGTCTCACGGAGCCTTTAACAACTTTTGGTTTCTGGGTATTTTTTTTTTTTTTTAAATGTACTAATATGAACAACATTATGAATGTGGAGATGAGATTTTTTTCTGGGTAAATTTGTTATGTGATTAGCACACAGCTGAAACCGTATGAGGCATAAAAGAACTGTGAGGTCGCTGGCACAAGTGAGAATGAGTGGCTGCCATCTTGTCTCTTTTTGTATCATGTCATATTTTATCTCAAGTGCAATTGTTTCCAGATTCATTTCTAGTCCTCGCATATTTTTCGTTATTTTACTTCACAAAGCAAATGATATTTTAATTTTTATTCTTTCCTTGTAATTTTATTTTTCTCTAATATGATCGCTAGATTTTAGCTAAATGTGGCAATACAGTTTGATATATTCTTGATATGTGTATGCCCCCTAGGCGGGCGTATGTTGAATGTTCATTCATTGAATTTGTCTAGTCCATTGAGTTTAGTTTTATTTACAATTGTTCATGTTTGTTTTATCTTGGCCAAGTTTCAGTTTAACCTACTTAACAAAAAAAAATTAAACATTGATCAACTGTGGCTTGCTCACTTTCTCCTCATTTTTATTTATCTGCACCCCTTCTTTCCCCATGTCCAGATTTTTATTATTTGTGATGGTTTTGTTTGAGTTGGCAAGTTGTACACCATCTGACGACATGTGTGGTTTGCTCATATTGAATTCATTATACGACGGTTCGCATTTTACAGAATCATTTCTGTTTTACTGTCAAATCTTTTTAACAAATTAAATTTGAATATCATCTCCACGTGTGTTGTATTATAGTGTTCCTAACAATGTGTTGTGTGTGGTCTTGTATTGTGTGGTCTTGTGTTGTGTGTGATCTTGTGTTGTGTGTGGTCTTGTGTTGTGTGTGGTCTTGTATTGTGTGTGATCTTGTGTCGTGTGTGGTCTTGTGTCCTGTGTGGTCTTGTGTTGTGTGTGGTCTTGTGTTGTGTGTGATCTTGTGTTGTGTGTGGTCTTGTGTTGTGTGTGATCTTGTGTTGTGTGTGGTCTTGTGTTGTGTGGTCTTGTGTCGTGTGTGGTCTTGTGTTGTGTGTGATCTTGTGTTGTGTGTGATCTTGTGTTGTGTGTGATCTTGTGTTGTGTGTGATCTTGTGTTGTGTGTGGTCTTGTGTTGTGTGATCTTGTGTTGTGTGTGGTCTTGTGTTGTGTGTGGTCTTGTATTGTGTGTTATCTTTTGTTGTGTGTGGTCTTGTATTGTGTGTGGTCTTGTGTTGTGTGTGATCTTGTGTTGTGTGATCTTGTATTGTGTGTGGTCTTGTGTCGTGTGTGGTCTTGTGTTGTGTGTGGTCTTGTGTTGTGTGTGGTCTTGTGTTGTGTGTGGTCTTGTGTTGTGTGTGATCTTGTGTTGTGTGTGATCTTGTGTTGTGTGTGGTCTTGTGTTGTGTGTGGTCTTGTATTGTGTGTGGTCTTGTGTTGTGTGTGATCTTGTGTTGTGTGTGGTCTTGTATTGTGTGTGGTCTTGTGTTGTGTGTGGTCTTGTGTTGTGTGTGATCTTGTGTTGTGTGTGATCTTGTGTTGTGTGTGGTCTTGTGTTGTGTGTGATCTTGTGTTGTGTGTGGTCTTGTATTGTGTGTGGTCTTGTGTTGTGTGTGGTCTTGTGTTGTGTGTGGTCTTGTGTTGTGTGTGATCTTGTGTTGTGTGTGATCTTGTGTTGTGTGTGGTCTTGTGTTGTGTGGTCTTGTGTCGTGTGTGGTCTTGTGTTGTGTGTGGTCTTGTGTTGTGTGTGATCTTGTGTTGTGTGTGATCTTGTGTTGTGTGTGATCTTGTGTTGTGTGTGGTCTTGTGTTGTGTGGTCTTGTGTTGTGTGTGATCTTGTGTTGTGTGTGATCTTGTGTTGTGTGTGGTCTTGTGTTGTGTGATCTGGACTCACAGAGTATTCTTTGGAAAACAGAAACCAGCATCTTGTGTGCAGAGTGGCTGGCGTCGCCTGAAAACAATCAGCTTAGGAGTACATCCAGGACATGCCAGTGTGCAGGGCACTGAGCAGGCTGATAGACTGGCTGCTGCTGCTCCTTTTAGACAGTAAGCTACTTTATGATAAAGCTGATGGGGTGAATGTTTTCTGAGAGGAAGTGGGCAGTGAAAAAAAGAACAGATAGATTATGCATACCTAGAAAGACTAATTCAGCCTAGGGTGAGTAGGGATTCTGGAAGATGTTCAACATTGAGAGGGGAAACATACGCGGACTTGTAATCAGGTTGCAAGTGGTACTATTAGCATGTTGACTCTTTGTTGGCTGCTGAATAAGGGGATGGAGCACGGTTGTGCACATTCTGTTACCGAGACCTCTGTCCTGCAGCGGCCACGTCATCATCATCATCAGGTGCCTTGCCGACTAACGTGGGCGATCATGCCTCTCCATAATCTGCGATCTCCTGCAGCATGTATCAGTTCGTGTGCGGACACACCTTCATGCCATGCAACAAGACTGTCAAGCATCTTCTCTCGTTGTCTTCCTCTATCCCTCCTTCCACAGATCTTTCCAGTGGTCACACCATGTTTTATTTTCCCTCTTCTCACAACATGGCCAAAAAATGATGACTGTCTCCTTCTGATGTCTGTGATAAGTTGTCTTCGGGCTCCCGCCTCTTTCAAAACCTCTTGGTTGCTCTTTTTGGCTGTCCAAGGTATTCTAAGCATTCTTCTATAAAACCACAACTCCGAGGCCTCCAGAAATTGTTTGGCCTGCCTACCAATTGTCCAGGATTCACAGCCATATGTTAAAACTGGATGTATGTAGCAAGCAAGAATTATTTTTCTATATAGCGGCCACGTCACCACTGCACAACAACATTGACACACACACTACACAGTTGTGGCAGTCAAAAAAAATCATTGACATACACACACTACACAGTTGTGGCAGTCAAAAAAAACATCATTGACACACACACACACTACACAGTTGTGGCAGTCGAAAAAACAACATTGACACACACACACTACACAGTAAAAAACAACAACATTGACACACACACACTACACAGTAAAAAACAACAACATTGACACACACACTACACAGTTGTGGCAGTCAAAAACAAACATTGACACACACACACTACACAGTAAAAAACAACAACATTGACACACACACACTACACAGTAAAAAACAACAACATTGACACACACACTACACAGTAAAAACAACAACATTGACACACACACTACACAGTTGTGGCAGTCAAAAAACAACAACATTGACACACACACACTCCACAGTTGTGGCAGTCAAAAAACAACAACATTGACACACACACTACACAGTTGTGGCAGTCAAAAAACAACAACATTGACACACACACTACACAGTTGTGGCAGTCAAAAAACAACAACATTGACACACACACTACACAGTTGTGGCAGTCAAAAACAACAACATTGACACACACACTACACAGTTGTGGCAGTCAAAAACAACAACATTGACACACACACTACACAGTTGTGGCAGTCAAAAAAAAAAAAAACAACGCTCATCCAAGAAGTATGGCAGAAAAATTAAGTGTTAACATAATCAACGTCCCAGTACAGAGACATTCCTATATGTGCTCAGTCCTCAGATTCAGCAGCCACTTCAAGTTATCCATTTTCAGATCTCAGGACAGAAGCACAGTCTCTGTAGCTCAGGTGAGAAATGCTATAATATACCTTACACTTTGATATACAACAAGGATAGTGCAAACCTCCCGCCTTTAATTTTCAAATATTACAAGAATAGTAAAAACCCTCCAAATCCTGTATTTTTCAAATATCCCAAGGATAGTGCAAACCCTCCCAAATCCTTACATTTTGATTTATCACAGGGATCTTGCAAACCCTCCCTTTTAATATATAGCAGTGAAATGCAGACTACAACCCTAGCAAAAGTAATCATCCAAACTGTAAGGAAAACGTATTTCTGCAGTAAAGTATACTTGTTTCTGCAGTAAAGTATACTTGTTTCTGCAGTAAAGTATTCTTGTTTCTGCAGTAAAGTATACTTGTTTCTGCAGAGAGGCGCTGTCGCCATTTGCAGGTGGCATTTTGGCTTTCCGGCATTTTTAAATAAAGCTTTCCATTTTTATGTCGTTCATGATATCCTTCTTTCTTTCTACTTCCTAATATAAATGTCTATTGTTTATTATATTTTATGCACCCCCTCCCCGTCCGTTTATTTCTATGTAGTAGTAATGCAGACCTGTGACAGTTAAGAACACTACAATAATAATTTGGACAGTGTAACCACGAAAAAATACTACAATAATAATTTGGACACTGTAACTACGAGAAAACACTACAATAATAATTTGGATACTGTAACCACGAGAAAATACTACAATAATAATTTGGACACTGTAACCACGAGAAAATACTACAATAATAATTTGGATACTGTAACCACGAGAAAATACTACAATAATAATTTGGACACTGTAACCACGAGAAAATACTACAATAATAATTTGGACACTGTAACCACAAGAAAAAAGACAGATGATTGAAAAAGCACTTGAATATAAGAGTGAGATGCACCTATGTTTTTTTTTTGGGGGGGGGGGGGGGGATTTGAAAAGGCATTTGACAATGTACCATGGAGCAAGCTATGGGACTGCTCAGCATGGGAAAACATCCCAGCACCCATGATCAGTGCAATACAGAGTTTCTACAAAAGCTGCAGAAATTATGTAATAACGGCAGACAAAAAGTCAGAAGAATTTAAGACCACCAGCGGTGTTAGAAAAAGGTGATATTCTCACACCTTACCTCTTCATTCTTATGATGGATGATGCCATCAAGACCTGTAAGGAGAAGACAAAGAAGTACTCAGTAGGGTACTGGAAGATGAGACCAATCTGTATATCAGAGCTGGCATTTACAGATGATGTGGCCCTGATAGCTAAATCAGAGGCACACCTTCAGTCCAACTAACTTGTCTAGAAGGAAGAGCTTGAAAAGAGAGGGATGACCATCAGTATCTCCAAAACTAAAACCATGGTGATCTCAAGAGAGGAGAAGAAACACCAGATCATGATGGGACAGTATGCATTGGAGCAGGTAAACCAGTTCAAATACCTTGGAGTTGTATTAGACCAAAATGGAGGCATTAAGACTGAGCTAACTACACGAAAAGCAGCTGCTGGGAGACTCTTCCAGGCCAAAAACCGAGGGTTTCTTAGCAAAAGAGAAATTGGCAAGAGGACGAAAATGGCTGTTTACCGCTCTACCTATGTACCAGTCCTGACCTATGGGTGTGAGTCATGGGCAATGACAACAGCTCACAGAAGCCAGCTGCAGGCTTCGGAAATGAGATATCTGAGAAAGGTGGTCCAAGTGACAAGAAGGGACAAAGTCCGCAATCAGACAATACGTCAAGATATTGATACCCAGTCCTTACAAACCAGAGTGGATCAGTCACAGTTGCGATGGTTTGGATGTGTATGCAGAATGGGAGAAAATCGGCCTCAATGGCAGGTATGGAAGGCTAAGAACCAGGAAACCAGACCTCCAGGACGACCCAGGGTGCTCTGGGAAGACAACATCCGACAGTCCCTAACTGACAGAGAACTGGACTGGAACAAACCCAGAAAGAAAACTGCTGATAGAGACGTCTGGTGATCTCTCTGGCAAACCTCTACACCCCAAGGTAGAAGAGGAGCGACTAAGTAAGTAAGTAACCAGGAGAAAACACTGCAATAATCATGTGGACACTGTAACCACGAGAAAACACTACAATAATAATTTGGACACTGTAACCACGAGAAAACAGTACAATAATCATTTGGACACTGTAACCACGAGAAAACAGTACAATAATCATTTGGACACTGTAACCAGGAGAAAACAGTACAATAATCATTTGGACACTGTAAACAGGAGAAAACACTGCAATAATAATTTGGATACTGTAACCACGAGAAAACAGTACAGTAATAAATTGGACACTGTAACCACGAGAAAACACTACAATAATAATTTGGACACTGTAACCACGAGAAAACACTACAATAATAATTTCGACACTGTAACCAGGAGAAAACAGTACAATAATAATTTGGATACTGTAACCACGAGAAAACACTACAATAATAATTTCGACACTGTAACCAGGAGAAAACAGTACAATAATAATTTGGATACTGTAACCACGAGAAAACACTACAATAATCATTTGGACACTGTAACCAGGAGAAAACACTGCAATAATAATTTAGACATTGTAACAAGAAGAAAATACTATATAATAATTTAGACACTGTAACCAGGAGAAAACACTGCAATAATAATTTAGACATTGTAACCAGAAGAAAATACTATATAATAATTTAGACACTGTAACCACAAGAAAAAAAACTAAAAAAAAAACAATCTGGACAGTTTCCATGACAAAAGACTATTTGGGCACTGTTATCTTGAGAAAAGAGTAAAATAACAATTTAGACAATGTACCCACGAGAACAGACAACAATAATAATTTGGACATAGTAAATAATGTAAACATTGTTGCCCTAGATTTCGTGGCTAGATTTCACTCCGTAGACAAACAAAAGTTCACGACATACGTGGTCCAGTGGTGGTAGTTGACATACAATGACGCGGTAAAGGTTTGTCTCCTTGTTCTGTCCAGTCTTGTTTGCGGGCATCTGGCAGGCTGGTCTTTTGCGTTGATTGTCCACGCTGATTCCCGGCTCTGTTGGCTGCTTCATTGTGATCTTTGACCGCTTGCAAGTTAGCCCCACTACACTGGAGAATTTTCTTTCTGCAACATATATAGTAGTAGTAGTAGTGGTAGTAGTAGTAGTAGTAGTAGTAGTAGTAGTAGTAGTAGTAGTAGTAGTAGTAGTAGTAGTAGTAGTAGTAGTAGGTGGTGGTAGTGGTAGTAGTAGTAGTAGTAGTAGTAGTAGTAGTAGTAGTAGTAGTAGT